TGTTAAATGGCGATTAGGACTTTTTAATACTTTTTAATGGCCTTAATTTTTGCAAAATTGATTTATTACCTTTTAAGACTTTTTAAAGAGGTGGTATCTCCATTATTGAGTTATATATCTTTTTTGTGCATGTAACAGGTTTGCAAAGTGAAAAGCGAACTGAGGAATACTAAAATGTAACGTGAAAACACGACAGACTGCTGATTGGTCAGAGAGAATATTCACTATTCTGCATCATCATTGTGTTCGCCAGACAGAGGCCAGCAACAGAAAGTTTTATATTTTACAGTTTTCGTTTGGAATTTCATCACTAAATCCACTTCTGAGAAGTTTTGAGGTGAAATCAGCTGTGTAGATTTCGGATATTGACAGTTTTACTAGAAGTGATGGCGGAAAAAAAATGTGCTTTAATATTTTTCGGAGTTGAGGAGCTCCGCAAGTGGCTGCGGGGGAAGCCTGCACCAACCCGCGGGAGGAGCGTGTGAGGCCGGCCAGCCGCCCGCTCACAGAGCCCTCTGCTCCCACCGTCACACAGACCCGCTGCAGCAACAACGGCAGAGGAAAACACAGCTGGAAGGTTTTCATACCGCTTATCTGTCTTTACATTCTGAGATATGTTGAAACGTTTTAACTTAAAAGAGAGAAAGCTGCGTGGATCGCTGGTGTGTGTGTCGCATTGAACATTACGTTGTGGCAGTTGTGTGTGGCTGCAATGGAAAACAGAGCAGGGCCAAGTACAGTCGAGTCTATCGAGTTGCACTATGGTAACATTTTTCGGCAAAGCAGCAGAGATCGTCAGAACACCGGCAACAGTTTACCGTTTAGTCCTAATGGTAAGATGTGGAACAATGATATTGCTTGGTTGTGGACTTGTGAGTAACTTCTACCATCTGCTAGGTTACGGTCGGAGTCTGAAGCGGCTTTGATTTGGATCACACTACCTTGTTTTTTTACAACCCGTCCTTCTCTGCTTCTGATTGGCTAGTAGCCCTTACCTGCGCATGTGCAACTCCCAACAAAGATTTTCCAAGAGGTCCAGTCCAGAAAATCACCGTGACTCCTAATTTTGTGTGTAAATCGCACAACTTTTAATTCAGAAAATGACTAAGTTTCTTTGAAAAAGCATTTATTTCAGTTCAAATTAACTTTCACTAGCCTACTTCCAATGACCCAGAGTTTGGAGGCTAATCAACTGAGTCGAGAACGACACCAGTAACCAAGCCGGGGCTAACAGCTCATTTACTGCAACAGTTTCCCGCGACCACCAACCAGAATCTCCGTCAGCAAAGACCAGCTTGAGCTGGCCGTGTGGCGTGCCAAGCCGCTGAGGGCCGTGAACGCAACAAACCGAGCCGGCTGGTCATGAACCTTCCACACTGGACAGTGGGGGGAAACAACAAGCAGTAAAGCAAAACAAACTATATTTTGTTGCCAAGTTGATGTCCTTTAGTCCTGAAACACTAGCTCAATTTAACTAAGTTATCACATTATAACTTGCATCCATTTGTTCTCTTACTCCATTAGTCATATCCTTTCCCAAACTAAATTCACATTGAACCATATTACTACAGTTCTATCTCATTGATTGCATCCTGGTTGTTTAGTCATTATTGTTTTATTTCTTTGGTATTATTTACTCTCACTTTTTTTACATCCACTTAGTTAGCTAATAAATTCTCACTTTGATCACAGGAACTGTGTGTGTTTACTGTTTAGCTCCAGGTCACTGGACGGAGGATTCACCCTTTGATTTGAGACTGATTGAACTGATTCAAAATAATTGAACAATTAATAACTAACTGATCACCAGTAATAATTGTTGGCAATTATTAACTGTACCCAAGGAGTCCTGAAGGCCTTGGGCAGACGGCGATTCAGGTGGTTCCCCAAACGAGTGCTCATGAAATAGTATTTCCAAATATTATTATTCATTAATTCATTAAGAAAGTGTAGGTTCACTATAAGAAATAGCTTTATAAGAAAAATCCTGATATAATATTTCAAAATATTATTATTCATAATTCATTAACAAAGAGTACTATCACTACACTTGAAATAGTGAAAGTCATAGGAAAATGAAGGCTCAGTTACCGAGGGGACAAATCAGAGGCTGCATGCACCTTGGAAAATGATGCTGCCGAACATGGCATGTTTTTAGAACGTGTTCTCTTGTTGAGCAAATTGGAAAAAATGCCTCCAAACGCATGTCAGTTCATGTATTGAAAATAGTAAGAGGCTGCACCACTCCGGAGCAACAGGCAGGGGATCACTGGTCACTCTCCTATCCAACACAACTGTAAACACGGTCATAGAAGCTACTGAATGTCTCATTAAAGAAAACGTTGCTGCGGAGGTTAAAGAGGCCGGCATGTATTTCATTCAAATCAATACAACACAAGACATAACAGACAAAGACCAGTGTTCAGTGATAATTTGTGACGGATGTGAAGACACAGGAGAGGATGATTGCACTGGCGAGTTGTCTACAGGTCAGGGTTTTGTTGATTTGCTTAAATGTGTCCTGGAGAAAATTTAACTTAATATAAATGAATGTGTTATATTATTATAATTCCACGGACGGAGCTGCTAACATGCAGGGGGAATACCGAGGATTTTCAGCACTATTCACCTGCACAGGTACACATATGGTGTTATGGCCATGTACTGAATTTAGTAATAATGGACGTTACTGGTTGCATTCTATCGAGCGCATCACTTTTTTCTTTGTTGAACGTCATCGCTGTTTTCCAGAGAGATTCATATCAAAAGGATGAATGCATGGGAGAATGTGAGCAAAGATGTGCCGCACAGGCGGCTGTCAACAACGTATTTCCCAACGTTTTGCTAAAAACAGAGAACTGTACACAGATTTCGCCCTGCTTGAGCCCCAGAACTTCAATGGCTTGAAATGTAACGGTGAACCTGCAGGTGCAGTCAGTGCCCTGAGCGCCAAACTGATCAGGCTCGATAGCAGAGCAACTCCTGAGGCCTTACAGGCTGAACTACTTAGCCTCATGCCGTGTACGCCTACAGTGTGAGAGTCATTGTGTTGAGAATTATTTTAGAACATTGCAGCCTAAATTGTTATCATTAATTGCTAGAGCGAAGGTGGTCTGCATTGGCATCATTTAAAGTATTATTTTAGAGTGTAAAGTTAAGATTACAGTGTCAAAACTCTATAGCTATTGTCATCATTTAGAGTGCTATTTTATAGTGTAAAGTTAAAATCACAACGCTGAAACTCCATAGCTCTGAGAGTGTGTGGTCCTCTCTGTGTCTAGCTGCCAGGAGGCAGTAACAGTAGCACATGTGTGTGTAAGCAGGCATGTGTGTAAGGAGCAGGATGAGCACAGCAAGGCATCATCAAAAACCCCAGCAGAGGAAAAGAAGCAGAATTAGTGAAAATTGTGTTACAAAACATACATCAATACAGTAAGAATGTCTCGTCTATAGCAAACAGCACAAGAGACACCAGCTTATTCCACAAAGTCAGGTTTTTGGTTAAAATGCCGTGATCAGCAGAGGGCATGCCTAGGACACAGAGAGGGGGAGCATTGCAGACAAAAAGTTAGACATCAGTCAAGAAACAGTCATCAGTGATTATCCTTAATCAATATTAATCATTGTTAATCATTTTAATCAGTTTTATTGTCTTTAATAAGTTACTTTAAGTGATCATTCTTATATCATCATTTTTAATCATTTTACTAGTATTAATCATTAATCATTCTTATTCATTTTCTTTTTACATAGATTACTTTAGTTTTTACTTATAAGTAGTGAACTGTAGTCATGAACACAAAAACAGATCCTTGAGTGGGAGGAATGACTGCAGGAAGAGGCTGCAGGTGGTTCGTCTTGTCCAACTGTCATCTACTGTAGATTATGACCATAGGAGAGGCTGCAGGTGTGCAAGATCTGCTGACACTGTGCATGCTTTGGTCTACTGTTATCTACTGTTGTTGTGATTACACGAGGAACTGCTGAGGTGTTAATCTGCTAACATTAAGACTATATGCTTAATTACTGATTAAGGGGGTTTGATTGTCAACTTCCAAACTCTGGTTATTATAGCCAGTATGAGCTTTGAATGAATTTGCTTATGACCTGTGTGAGCTTTGAGTGAACTTGCTGAAGGAATTCATGCTTTGCAAAAACACGACAGAGGATGACCAAAAAACCGACAGATGCTTGGCAAAAACACGACAGACAGATGATAAGCAGAAAGCAGAAAGCAGGCAGCATAACATCAAGAATGCTGTAAGAAACCAGGCATTAATGGAAAATGCAACTTTACTTATGTTATTCTTATATTAATTGGTTAAAAAATACAATTATTTATGTGTCAAATTAAGCATGCGTAACCTTTAAAAAACACAGTGAGACTGAAGTTGAAATGTAAATGATGAACTTCTTATCCAGTAGTATAAAGATGTAGAAAGTCTACAGTAATAAATGACAGCTGGGGAACAGTGTTAATTGGTAAAAACAACACAATAACAGAGGAAAGAAGTTCATCATGAGGAAAGGAGGGGGGCAAACCAGCCCAGAAGAGATATATATAAGACTGTCTGCAGACCATAGGATGGGCTTCATCCTCCGACCTGCTGGGATGTTGTACGGGTTTATGTGTTCTCTTTTGCACCGACTCTTGACCGTCTCCAGAGAAGTTTTTGATCGCAAATTTATTGACTATAATAGAGAGCTAATGGAGTATTTTTTGACAAAGTTTATTAAGTTGGTGAAGGTGGGGACCATGCTTAACTGGCCCAGTCTGGTCGTACATCTGACCCAACAATTGCTGCCTTGTATGGTCTCAGTGGGGAAAATGTCCAGATTCAGGGAACGTTTTTTTTTAACGTCATCACTTTGTTGGGCCGGTGAAAACCACATTACCAGGGCTGAATTTTGGTCCCAGCGTTCACTTGAAATATTAATTATATTGTATTGTATTGTATTATATTGTTAACTTATGTGTTTAAAATTAATGTTTTACTCACATTTCACATTAATAAAGACTGGTTCAGATGTCCTCATTCCCAGCTTGTTCTCAGCTGCACAGTAATACTTTCCAGAGTCAGAGGACTGGATGGAGCTGAAGACAAGCTGTGTTTTTGTATTGCGAGGAAGAAGGTGGTTTAGATTGCCTTTCTCCTTGAACCAGGTATAAGTAGCTGCTGGGTTAGCCTCACTGATACAGGTCAGAGTCACTGATCTGCCCTCCACTATCTCACCAGAGAGACTCAGTGACACAGAGGGAAGCTTTGGAGCATCTGGAGGAGAAAAAATAATTGAACCGTAGTGAAGACAGATTTCTTTGTGTTGTGTTGAAATGAGTAATAGTTATGTGTGTGCAAGCATCTGAAACTTTGGAGGTGGTTTTGTGACTGGCAGCAGACAGAGCTGTGTGTTGGGACCACTTGAGTAACACTCTATAAATCTAAGAGGAGACCAGAGGAATGCCCCTCACACAGGTAAACAGAGGTAAGTTTTAACACAAAAATGTTGAAATGTGTTGTAAATACTACAATGTTGGCCCTGACTGCCTATCAATAAGTAAGTTGGGTCTATACTCATTTTGATATTATATTCCTGGTTAGCACAAGCTAAGAAATCAATATACTTTATACTTCCTTGATGTTTTGACATGTGTACTTCCATGGTCAAAATTACTATTTCAAAAAAGAACATAAAAGGTAGGTACTGCCAACACCGTACTGCAGGTACTGTAATATAACTGTGTGGGGTTCACAAAGTTAGCCCTTCCTACAATCTAAATGCTGTCTATATGTTGCCACCTAATGAAATCCAGGCAGCAATTTTGTTTCCAGAAAAATGTTTTGGCAAAAATTCACCAGCCACTGTAGCTAGTGGTTTACCAAAGTTACTGGCCAATATGTGTGAAAGCATCTGAAACATTAAAAGTGGTTTTCTGCATTACTGAAGGTTTGAATCCTCTGAACATCTGTGCAGATTTGGGGGACCAATTCTAAATAAAACTGCTTTTTCATCATCTACTGTAACTGCTCAGTGAACTACAGCAGCAGACTGTGAATATGAAACAGGCAGAGCTGAAGAAAGAGCATGATCAGCAAAACATTTGACTGGATAATTAAGCATTAAAAAGTTGTCATTGTCTGCTTAAAGCTTTTTAAATTTGCTGTGTTTTACTCACATTTCACATTAATAGGGACTAATCCAGATGTCCTCATTCCCAGATCATTCTCTACTGCACAGTAATACTCTCGAGAGTCAGAGGACAGGATGGAGCTCAAGACAAGCTGTGGTTCTTTACTTAGAGGATGAAGGTTTGGATTTCCATTCTCCTTGTACCAGGTATAATTAGCTGCTGGGTTAGCATCACTGCTGCAGGTCAGAGTCACTGAACTGCCCTCCACTATCTCAGCAGAGGGACTCACTGACACAGAGGGAAGCTTTGGAGCATCTGGAGGAGAAAACAAGAACACATTTAACATTTAACTTCAAGATGAGGTTGAGTTTTCACAAAACAAAGCGGTGGTGCAGCTTGATGTCCTCCTTTATCAGAAACAGCATGGGTTTCTGTTACCATGGATACAAGCTGGACACTTTGATACAGTAATACAGTGCAATAGGTTAAAGGCTCCACCAGATGGTGTCATGTCAGTGGAAGACTGGATGTAAACTCACACACTGAAGGAGAGCGGGACTTCTCATATCCTCCTACAGCACAGGAAAAACTGTCTGTAGGGTAAAAGTAGGCTGAATAAGAATAAGATGTTTGTCCCCTAATGTTCTGTCCATTCTTGTACCAGACGTAGTAATGATGACCAGGTGGACGACAACTGCTGTGACACTTCAGCTCTGCCCAGTTAGAAGACTCATAGACCTGAAATCTGCTCACCTGCACCTGGAGATCTGAATATGTAAATAAGGAACAGAATCTTCACTTTAGATTGAACTGCCTACATAGAAACACAGTAACCTTCATAAGATGTTGGACATTTGGAACTAAATAAATAAATATTCAGATGAAAATGTTACCTGTGACAGACAAAGTGACTCCAGGTGAACCAGTATATTTCCCACGTTCTTGGTTTGTTATGAAACTGAACTTGTACTCAGCTGAGTCGCTCTCTCTCAGGTCTGTGATTCTCAGAGTGCAGCGGTTCTTGTCACAGCTATAAGTTACATGACCTGAATACTCTGACTTTGTTTTCAGATCCACAATTTTATCACCTTTAAACCAGAATGTTTTCTCAACTGTAGTATCGTGGCCATTTATTGTGGACGGGTATTTAATGGTGCAGCTTATTTCCACTGTTGATCCTTTGAAGGCACAGATCTCAGTATAAGTGTACGTCACTCCCCAGTCATACTGACTCTGTACCACTGTAACACAGAGCACATCAGACACAATCAACACTTCATTTAACAATCAGACAAAGTGGATCAAACTACCAATATGGTTTGAGGGAAACGTAACCTGGACAAGTTTCAAAACCTGAATTATCTGCAGTCATTGTCACAGAAAGTTTATAAGGTGTTTGTCATATTTTAATGTTGTGAAAAGTTGGGTTTCTGCTTGGGTCCATTCATTCAAAAAATCTAAACAAAATACCTGAAAAGCTTATGTGTCAACACACAAGTAATCCAAACAGAAAATTAATAAAATTACATTTTACTCTCTTTTCTGGGATGGAGCCGCAGAACAGTGGTACATAAAATACTCACAGATGTTCTGTATCATTCGTCTTCCAAGTCACTTCCTAACTCCTGTTCTAAATATTTAATGTTTTATTACATTTTTTATGTTATTTCTGAATAAAACCAGGGTGAACAGAGAGAAGTCTAAACACAACGTCTTGCTCAGTTATTCACAGTCAGTGCAAAGGAAGATGTACACATGCTTTCTACAGTTCATCTCTATGTGCACTGAGGCAGGACATCATCCAGTCTGAAGGTGCAGTGAAGTGAACAGGAAAGTATCAGACCTGTGACCTTTAATGCAGTTTACTGACCGGGATAAGAGGAGAAATATAAATTATTAGAGAGTCTGTGCTTTTCTTGGTCAGTTCTCTCTGTTCACTCTGCGGTCAGGTTGCTGCAGAGTTAAGTGTGAAAGCTAAAAATAAATGCAGCGCACTGAGGTGTGGAAGAGTTTCTAGCAGCTAAACATAAGATAGCAGAAAACTGCTATCAAGATCTCTGACTTTAGCACCCGCTGAATGAGGGTAAATTGTTGGCAGATCGTCAGACCATCCGCCATTTTGGCAGACAGAGAAAACGTTCAACAGAAAGACACGTGTAGTAAGTTTAGTGTAGCCTATTATGGTGATCGGTACACACCCCTGCCTCACACACAAGACACACAGAGCAGTCAGCTCAGGTAATATCTGTGGCGGTGTTTGAACCAAACTCAGCAGTGGAAGAGGCCCAGTCCCTCCTGAGTGACAGCCGGTGAGCTTACCAGCAGCACCGGCCAGACAACAGGAGGGAACTCCGGTGTTGATGGAGAATCATAAGCTTGTCAATCAGAGACAAGAGACATCACTTGGTTTTATTTTCGTTGGCCAACTTTTGTATTGAAAGGAGTATTTTTTGTTTGCTTGTTGGGATCCAGAAGAAGACGTTTTTATTGAGATATGGACCCATTCATTGGTGGTTTAACTGAGTGTTAGGTTTCCTGTCATCTGTAACGTACCTTTGAAATATCAGGCTGTTAGTGATTGTTAGGTTAAGTGAAATTAATGTCATTGACTAAAAGACATGCACAATGTTTTTTGTGTTTAAAATTTGAATGATAACATTATTTACATTACAATATGCCTAAATGAGCAGAACGTTCATTTAGTTTATCTTGGTGCATTTCTAAATTGACAGATACAATTTCTGTGTGTTAGACAAAAATAACTGCTTGTCACAGTGGCAGGCAGTAAAGAAGTTATTTTTGGACCTTGCTGCTGTCAACACAGAGCACAGAAACATCACACTGAGGTCAGACAGTACAAAAGGAACTAGCAGATGAAGATATGAGAGAAGTTGTGTCAGTATGACTTCACTGTGTGAGACCAGTAGGCCTATCTCTCTAAAACCTTCACCGTGATAAAAGTAGCTTCAAATAGGAACTATTTGAAGTCTCTGTTTCCGGTTTACACTTTCTTGTCTAATTATACAAGTTGGATAATGGAACAAGCCGACGCTTTGGTGCGTTAAATTGCATTGCACGTCTTCATTCAATGCGACAATAACACAGCATAGTGCTAACATCGTTTAGGCAGCATCAGCTCTGGAAAAATGAACTCACACTGTTCAATATACATTTGCATTAGCGCAAGCAGGACAATGAAATTAGGAAATACCCCCTAAACTGGCTGTTTTCATCATACAGTGTGAACAACTGATCCTGATACTTTCTGATCCACTTATTTTCACATCTGACCTTCAGCCTACTTTTACAAGACCTACATTTCCCAGATTCCCCTGTTTTAATGCAATGAATGTAAGTTTAGATATTCAGTACCTGACACAGAGAGAAGGAAGACGACAAATCCACTCGCTGCTGCAGTTAAACTCATAGCTGCTCCTCTCATCTCTCTGTGTGGCTTCAGAGACAATAAAACATGTTAGCAGATAAAATAATGTACAAGGCAGATATACAGTATCACTCACATCAATAAACAATTCTACTTACAATGAAGAAGGACGCTGTCTTTAAAGAAGCCTTCCTCTGTGTCAGCAAGCAGAACACGGATATCAGGCTGTTAAACTACTAGATTTCCTTCCTCTTTAGATTATTAATATTCATGATGAGCCAAATGCCAGTTAACACCAACATCAAAATAAAGAAGTAACGATTTGCAAACTAAGAACTTAATAAGAGAGAATAAGAAAATATTGTTATGGCCTGTTGATATTAAACCTGTTTGCTGCTTCCTACTGACACAAGAAATGAGAAAACAGAACAGACAGGCGTGAAAGTTGGTTTCATGCATTACTTGACACGTCTAGTGCATCTTTAGACAGTGAAATAACCTTTATACCAGTATGAGTTCAAAGAGATGGACTGCAGCAGTATGGGGTGTAAAAAGTCACGTGCTGAGCTCAGTGTTTATTCAGTATTGAGAAACATGTAAGAAAAGTAGATCAGAAACAATGAATTACATTTTGCAGCTCTCTCACTCACAGTCATTCTGACTCTGTGTCACTGTAACACAGAGCACATCTGACAAGACGCTGCTGGAGGTAAGACAGAAAATATGTCTTCTTGTAATTTGGGTGAAGTGAT